GTTTTTTTTTTTTTTTTTGGGGGGGGGGGCGCTGGGGTTTCCAGATTAAAAGGATCCCAAGGCGCCCATTGACTAAGAATTTCCGAAAATCTAATTTACAGAATCCTATTATTCTTTTGAAACCTGACTGCACGAGTGAGAGAAAGCATTCGTTGATTAATTCGTTATGAGATTCCATTCATCTTTTTGTTTTATTTTATTCTTTTCTTTTATTCAAATTATTAAATATATGCACCACAGTGTTGGACAGTGCTGCGGTATTCACGAGTCTTTTTTTTTTTGTCAATCTCACAGTGACCAAATTGTCTCTGTTACCTACCTCATGACAATGTTAGATGATAAAACCATCAAATTAAAAAAAAAATCTACAGTTGTAATCAATTGGAGGGTAACCTGAGGTGAATTGCGTTAATTGCAAAAAGCTCATTTTAATGCAGTAAGACGTTTTCCTGTGAATTAATTCAAGGGGGAAGAATGACTACGGCCAACAGTCCTCATAATGCACAGTGTATGGCCGATTTGGGCGCTCAGTACATCACCTGTACTCCTTATTATGCCAAAATACACCAAAGGTGAGTTCGTTGAAAAGGGTGGAATCAGTCTTGCTAATTGTATGATGTAAAAAAGATACAGTTCATGCATTTTTAACAATTTTAATGTTACCTCTTGTAATATAGTGAAGTTATTATATTATCATCACGATGGTGTTGGCAGTAGATTAACCTGAGTAAACTGGAAACTGTAATACCAGCTCCATGGGATTGTTGTGATGATTAGATGAGATGATACCTAGAACACAGTAAGGTCTCAATAAATATAAATATGTTGATGCTGAGGAAGAGGACAAATACCTACAATGCAAGTCAATCTTAACCTAATTTAAAGATTGGTGAAATAAACAAGACTACCTTGCTGTGTATTTTCATTGACTTTAATTTTGAAATATACGGGGAAATAGACTTTTGGCTAATGTCTGCAAAAGATCTATAGATTCTTAAAACACTCCTGTTCTTCACCTGAATTCTAAATTTTAGTTAACACAAAATATACATTGAGTTGATCATATGAAAGTTGCTGGTTATGAGCTAAAATGATAACCTTTAAAAATGCTTCGAAGAAAATATGGTATTTTTAGAGCCGATTGTAGTATCTGCTTACATTATGTATATATTGATTCATTTCAGTTTTTATGATGAACTGTTAGCTCATGGTGTTTTGAAGTATCTGACTTCTCCTATCGAAGGAATGGTGATGAAAGATGGAGACTCTAACTTTGTGGCACCTCAAGGAGTTTCTTCAATTATTAAGCATTACTTAAAAGAATCAGGTGGGAAAGTGATTTTTTTCTGCTTTTTAAAAAATCAGCATTTTAAAATAAAAATTATACACTTAATCAAATAATGCCTATCCATATATGTGTGTGTGTACCACCATTGAACTGGTAACTTTCTGATAAATATTTAGGTTGTTTGGGAGTAGAGAGTTGTTTTGTTTTGTGGGATTTTGTTTGTTTTTGTTTTGCTAATACAAACATTGCAGCAGTGTCTAACCTTGACTTTTCTTTTGTTAGTGTACCTGTAGCCCTAATTCCTAACAGTTTAAAAGCTGTGTCAAATGGTATGTGCATTTTTAATTGAACTAGGCTGTGCCACACATTCTTCTAAAAGAATACTCAGTAGTAGTGAATGTGACTTTCTCTTTCCCCACATCTGGTTATTAGAGACATTTTTAATTTTTGCCAATCTGTCAGGTTAAAAATGGTGTGTCTGTGGTTTTGATTTGCATTTCCTAAGTTATGAGTGGGTTTGTGCATCTTTTGTTTTGTTAATTGGCTCTTTGCATTTTTTTTTCCTGTGAACATCTTCTTCGTAACCTTTGCCCATTTTCTATTAGGATTTTCATTTGTTCTTGTATATTTCATGAGTGCTTTGAAAATGGACGTTTTCTTAAGAAATTAGAACTTTTCTTAAAATAATAAACGGTTTTGTTATTTTAAACAGAAGTAGGCTTGTTGATGAATCATAATTCTGTTAAGGTCCTAATGCAAGATCACTTAGGAAAGGTACAGGCTGAGAACTTGTTTTGCCTTATAAGCGATTTCTAGAATAATTGCTGTTTTAGTCTTCCTCATCAAATATTACTTACTGAGAACCGTCAGAATTTGTGATACTGGGCATAAGGGACGTCAGTGAAATTGAATACACAACATGAAAACATAATACATGCCATTCTGGGTTGGACCATTTTTCCATCCAGGATGGTGACATTTTGCCAGCATGTGACTTTTTAAAATCTGTTTTCCTTCATGATTTTCACCTAACTCAAGTTAGATGTGTATATTTAGTGAAATCCTAAAGTGCTTACTAACTGTATTACGTATGTATGCGTGCATGTATCTACCCACTTAGCCATTCATTCAGTAAACATTTATTGAGTGCTTACTAAATGCCAAGCACTGTTTTAGGTAATAATGATAGAAGGATCAACCAGAGTCCCTGCTTTCATGGAGCTGTTGTTCTGGCAGAGAGTCATTCCTTGAATACTTAGCACCTGCTTTCTTATTTTGTAAGGTATTTGGGGAATATATGTTTTAACTTCTGATTTTGCTTTGGAAGTTCTTGGGGGCAGAGATCATATTTAATTTTTTGTAGCTCACACAGAATCTAATAGTACCTTGTTTATAATAGCTACAGTGATATAGATTTCTTATATATCTATATTATATATAGTTTATATATATATATTTTTAGATGATTGTAGGTTCAGTTAATTTAACCAATTCTTAGTAAAAACCTATTTATATTTTCAATTTTTATAATCTCTTGGGACCGTGAACCCTGTAGCTTTTCTTACCACAATTTAAAATGTTAATCCTATTTGTTAGTATTGTTTATTTCAAAAAGTCACTTTAAAAAAAAAAATGAGTTACATATTCCTGGTAGAAAATTAGAAAATACAGCAAAATACTGAGAAAAAAGTTATTATCATGTATAAATCAATAAATCCATTTCGTGATATTTTCTTTCTTCTTTTTTAAAAATGAATTTTTACATAATTGAATTCATGATCTACATAATTTGAGTCTATACAAACTTTTCCTTTGTTTATTTTAATATTCTCTTTGTAATCCTTCAAGATTTCTATCTTCCCTCTACCCAGATCTACTGTTACAGGTTTTGATAGAACCTGAGCATACCATTATTTAATTTTACAATTATATCCCTTTAAGTATTCTTTAAGCCCCTTCAAAGCTTTCCATCCTACATGAAAGTATTTTAGTTTTTCCACAGTATAAGCTACGGTAGTCCCTGCAATCAAAATGGCCTGGATTCAAATTAATTCTCTACCACCCCTTCTTAGCTGTGTGATATCAGGAAAGTTTTAAAATCCGTATCAGTTCTTTGATTGATAAAATGAGGGTAATAACAGTACCTACTGCAAAGAAATGTTGTGAGGAATAAAGGAGGTAATAGACCCGTTATCGAGCCAAGCACATAGTAATCTCCTGATAAATGTTAGTTTAAAAAATAGTCTACTTGAATGAATGAGGCTGATCTTCATTATGTCCTCAGTCCAGAAGAACCCAAATTAACGAGTTATTCTAAAAATACTCTACATTTTGGAGTCTGGTTGAGTTTACAACCTTACAGTCTGATGGACTAATCAGTGGTGACTCAGATTGAGACCAGACTTCCAGGAAAATTATCTAGGTGGGATATGCCTAATCAAGTATGCTTTTAGATATAGGTACAAACTTCTGAAGCCAGTATTTAACTAGACCGGTTTCACAGAACAAGTAGTAAAGGTCAGAGGTAAACAGACACTTGCCTCTTGACCTTATGTTCTGTTTTTATTTATTGTTTGGTATATTCACATTAACCTTATTATAGAGAAAACTATATTTACTGGCATCGATCTTAGCAACTGTTTACCCTCCCCATTAAATACAGTGTACTCCTTGAATGACTCAAACATGATTTTCTGTTGTTCTGCCTTTTTTTTTTTTTTTTAAAGTTATTGTTGCTGAGGTGGGAGAATCTCTAAATAATAAATGCTATTCTAGCTATCACTTATTTAGTGCTAACTGTTTACCAGACATTATGACATTATGTTAGGCACTTTACATAAAATTATTTCTAATACAACAATCTTTCAAGGTACTTATCATTATCCTCATTTTTCTAGTGAGGAAAATGAGACTCAGGGGAGGCTACTTTGCCTAAGATGGCTTGGCTAGTAAATAACAGAGCTGGAACTCCCATGAACCTGGCCTTCTTGTCTGGTCCTATTAGCTATCCCATGGACCTCTGGTAGCACAGTGGTTAAGAGTTATGGCGAGCTATGGTTGCTAACCAAAAGGTCAGCAGTTCGAATCCACCAGCTGCTCCTTGGAAGCCCTATGGGGCAGTTCTCCTCTGTCCCATAGGGTCACTATGAGTCAGGATTAGCTTGACGGGTTTGGTTTTTGGTTGATCCCATGGATGTTGCCCATGGAGGGCAATCAGAGATGCTGTACCCTCTGACTTAACATCTGTTTTGTAGGGCCTTCTCTTTTCTTCCTGACTTGCTGTCTACAGTATGAGAGATTGTTCCCATCCCACCCTGGTTCCACATGTCACTAGACACATGGCTAAGATATCAACCTCATAATGCCCTCTTCCCCTAGTTCCCCTATGTCATTGTTTAGCCCCTTCCCTTTGGGGAGGGAATTATTAAAGAGTGTTGTTGTTAGGTGCCATCAAGTTGGCTCTGACTCATAGCGACCCCATGTATAACAGAACAAAGCATTGCCCAGTTCTGCGCTATCTTCACAGTTACTGTTGTTAGGTGCCATCGAGTTGGCTCTGACTCATAGTGACCCTATGTACAACAGAACGAAACACTGCCCAGTCCATTGCCACAGTAGTAGGTGTGTTTGAACCCATTTTTGCAGCCACTTGTCACTCTATCTTGTTGAGGGTCTTCCTCTTTTTTACTGACCCTCTACAGAGCATGCTGTTTTTTGCCAAGGATTGGTCCTTCTGATAATGTGTCCAAAGTAAGCAAGTCAAAGTCTCGTCATCCTCACTTCTAAAGCGTATTCTGGCTGTACTTCCTCCAAGACAGACAGATTCCATTAGTTCTTCTGTTAGTTCAGGGTATATTCGATATTCTTCACCAACACCATAATTCAAATGTGTTAATACCTCTTCAGTATATCATCTTATTTCTTTATGCCACATGGGAGATGGATCACCTGATAGTTATTGCTTATGACATTTGGAGAGTGATGGTCTAAGTCCTTTTGCTTCTGGATAAGGCCTATGTCATTAAATCATAAGAGGATGAATTCAGCCTCTGGGACACAGAGAAGGAGGTTTTTTTTTTTTTTTTTTTAATATTGTGCTTTAGATGAAGGTTTGCAGAGCAAATTAGTTTCTCATTAAAAAATTAATACACATATTGTTTTGTGAGATTGGTTGCCAAACCCATGACGTATCAACACTCCCATTTCAGACCTTGGGTTCCCCATTTCCATTCATCCAGCTTTTCTGTCCCCTCCTGCCTTCTTGTCCTTGCTTCTGGGCTGGTGTGCTGGTTTAGTCTCATATTCATGGCTGAGCTACGTTTATTATTTGTTTCATGGGCCTGTCTAATCTTTGGGTGAAGGGGGAACCTCAGGAGTGACTTCAGTACTGAGTTAAAAGGGCATCTGGGGGCCATACTCTTGGGGTATCTCCAGTCTCTGTCAGACCAGTAAGTTTGGTCTTTTTATGTGAGTTTGAATTTTGTTCTACATTTTTCTCCAGCTCTGAGTGGGACCCTCTGTTGTGATCCCTGTCAGAGCAGTTAGTGGTGGTAACTGGGCACCATCTAGTTGTGCTGGACTCAGTCTGGTAGAGGCTGTGGTAGTTGTGATCCATTAGTCCTTTGGACTAATCTTTCCCTTGTGTCTTTGGTTTCCTTCATTCTCCCTTGCTCCACACAGGGTGGGACCAGTGGAGTATCTTAGATGGCTGCTCACAAGTTTTTAAGACCCCAGATGCTACTCACCAAAGTAGGATATGGAACATTTTCTTTATAAACTGCATAATGCTGATTGAGCTAGATGTCCCCCAAGATCATAGTCCTCAGTCCTCAGCCCAGTAATTTTGTCCCTCAGGGAGTTTGGATGTGTCTGTGAAGCTTCTATGACTGTGCTTGGTCAAGTTGTGCTGACTTCCCCATTATTGTGTACTGTCTTACCCTTCACCAGAGTTAATTCTCTATTGTTTAGTTAGTGTTTTCCCCTTCCCACCACTTCTCCCTCATAACCATCAAAGATAGTTTTTTTCTGTGTAAACCTTTTCATGAGTTTTTATACTAGTGGTCTCATACAGTATTTGTCCTTTTGTGATTGACTGATTTCACTCAGCATAATGCCCTCCAAATTCATCCATGTTGTGAGATGTTTCACAGATTCATAATTTTTCTTTATTCTTGCATACTATTTCATTGTGTGTATGTACCATAGTTTGTTTATCCATTCATTTGTTGATGGGCATTTAGGTTGTTTCCATCTTTTTGCTGTTGGGAATAATGCTGCAATGAACGTGGGTGTGCATATGTCTATTCATGTGATGGCTGTTACTTCTCTAGGATATATTCCTAGGAGCGGGATTGCTGGATTGTGTGGTATTTCTATCTCTAGCTTTTTAAGGAGGTGCCATATCATTTTCCAAAATGGTTGCACCATTTTGCATTCTCACCAGCAGTGCATAAGAGTTCCAGTTTCCCTGCAGCCTCTCCAACATTTGTTATTTTCCATTTTTTTTTATTTGTGCCAGTAACATTGGGGTGAGATGGTATCTCATTGTAGTTTTTGATTTGCATTTCTCTAATGGCTAGTGACCAGGAGCATTTCCTCCTGTGTCTGTTAGCCGCCTAAGAAGTTTTTATTTGACTTGTACTACCAATATGGAGGACTGTTGCTGCATTTATTTGTTTTTGTTTTATCAAAAAACAAAAAAACCCACTGCCATAGAGTCAATTCCGAATATGTGCAATGTAATTTCTCAAGTTTGACAGGATGAATTCCTTAGAAAAGTTGGTTTAAGTTGCAGATACTATTGGCTAGGTGATATCTGTGTGGTAATATTTACTTTTATCATTCTCTTCCTTTTTATTTGTATGCTTCTTTCTAAAACTGATATAGAAGAAGTGTACCTGGGTGGTTGTTTCAAAAATTTTCCCAGGTGGGTGATCATGGCACTCATCCACAGCATTGTTCTTCAGAGAAAAGCTAGAGAATAGCATGCAACTCTGGTTAAGCATTCTCCTGTTTAAGTAGTGCATATAGTTAGACATTGTTCATATCTCAGCAGGCCCCATCTGCTGCTCACTAAAACTTATTTGTTGGAAATTACTGGAGAAACATAAATTTTCATTTTCTCTTTAAAAAATGAATGAAGACGGGAGAAAATTGAATAAATATATAACAGAAACACATTTGCTTTTGTAAAATGTGTTAAACCTCCCTATCCTTTTCATATCTTTATAGGTATCCACAGGTTTTTTTTTTCTTCTCATTAAATATTATGTGCAAGGAAACAGTGGTAAATAAGACACATGGTCCCTGCCTTTGTTAATATATAGTGGATTCTTATAAAAGTGGCATGGTGGTGGTGTCTGACCTCCTTGTCTAACTTCACAAGGGAGAAGGAGAATCAATATCAACAGCCCAAGGCTGATTCCTATGAGGCAGAGGTCAGACATGCCTCCTTTCTCCACCATCTTTACCAGTTCTGACACCAACTATCCCTCCCACAGCACTCTCTACTTCTCTGCTGTGTTCGGTAATTCATTGCAATGGCCACACAGAACTCACAGACAATACTTATGATTATGGGGTTTATTAGGGAAGTAACAGGTCACAATTCAGGCTCAGGAATGCTCAGCATACAGTTCTTCCATCCGGACAGCTTCTTCTCAGCTGTGCCGCAAGACATACCTCTCTGGCTCCTAGGCCTCTGCCCTGCTCAGGCAAATATTACAAAGCTCTTTTAGCCCCTTGGCCTTTGGCCTGCTTGGACAAGTGTTACAAAGCTCTTTTAGCTCTGCCAGTAAATGCCCAGAGGTACCCCACTCCACCAGTAAGCCTCGGCCTAAAGGCACTCAGCCTTCTCGCTCTGTGGGCCAGGAAGCCCACTGCACCATCTCCTGCTGGTCTCTCCTGCCACCATTTCTCTTGCCGTCTTCAGTGTTACAGCTACCCCCCCCCCCCTTTCTGTCTGTCTTCTGGTTCCAGGAGCTTCTTAGCGCAGGGATCCCGGGTCCAAAGGACATGCTCTGCTCTTGGCTCTCCTTCCTTGGTGGTGATGGGATCCTCCCTCTGCTCTGGAATTGGCTCTCTTTTAAGCCTAGTGGGATGGCAAAACTGACCAATCCCTTTGGTGGGCCACAATTACCCCATTTGCACAGTCCCACCCAAGTGATTAGTTACAAGACCATGGTGAGAAAGGCCACACAAAAACAATCCATCACACCACAATTCTTTAAGCTTCAATTATTTTTTCTTACTTTTCAGTTTATGGTTTGTGTTAGGCTGGGTTCTCTAGAGAAGCAAAACCAGTAAAGCGTATAAATATATATAGAGAGAGTTTTATATCAAGGAGATGGCTTACACAGTTGTAGTGGCTGGAACATCCCAAGTCCGTGGATCAGGATAGAGGCTTCTCCCGATTCACATAGCCACAGGGGCTGGCAAACCCAAGATCAGCAGCTCAGAGAGCAGGGCTCTTGCTCACAGGCTGTGAAGATTGACGAATCCCAAGGTTGGCAGGCAAGACTGCAAGGCTTCTCCTGCTTCATGTAGCTGCCGGGCCTGGTGAACTGAAGATCAGCAGGTCAGAGAGCAGGGCTCCTGCTCACAGGCTGTGAAGATCCATGAATCCCAAGATCGGCAGATAAGCTGATAGCTCAAGTCCCAAGAACCAGAGGTCAGATGAACAGGAGGCAGCTGCAGGATCCAGAGCGAGCAAAAAGCCAGAACATCTTCTTGTATTCGGATGCAGGCCACACACCAGAGGAAACTCCCTTTCAACTGATTGCCTACTCACAGCAGATCCCATCATGGCAGTGATCACATATAAACACTGAGAATCATGGCCCAGTCAAGGTGACACGCAATCTTAACCATCACATGGTTCAAAACTCATTTTTTTAAACAAATATTAAGTGCTTAATATGTGCCAAGTACTGTGCTATATATTTTATACACTGTGCATAAAAACAAAACAGGCATAATTCTTGACTCATGGGCTTACAGATTAAAAGGGGGGAACGGTATTAAATAGTCAAATAATTATTAAAATACTGTTACTGCAATAACGTGGATTGGAGCCACCTGCCACAATAGACAATTCTGAGATGGGTGAGGTGAGCAGCAAGAGGTTTATTATATGTAGATATATAGGAGACAGAGGGGAATAGATGCCTCAGAAAAACCCATCTCCCCCACTGGAGATCGGCTGAAGGCTTTTATAGGGACAGGATTATGGGTCTTAGAAGTTTGTGTTAGTTTCCCCTTGAGGTGGTGATGTCTCAGATGAGTTACTCTTCTACTGGTATTCTTGAGGGTTATCTGGTGACATCCTTGGGGATTATCTGGTGACATCTTGGTTTTTCATGTCACGAGATGGGTGCTTTGTTTGGTTTTCATCCTTAGATCATTATCACTTGTTTTCTACCCTACAAGGAGGAACATCAGTTAATCTTAAACCTTGTGTAGAGACGGAAGAAACAAGATCATGAGACAATGTGGCGGTTAGCAATGGGGAGTAAATAATAGTGAACCAGGCCTGCGCAGCCTCTTCCAATACCCTTGTGATTAGTGCTAAGAAGAAAAACATGATAAGAGGGTACCATCAATTGTATTTTTCTTAATTCTGATTCTTCTTAATAAAGATAATTGATCCAGTGATGAAGACTTTTATTTCCCTTAGAGAAGAACTTTTTCATTGGGTTGAAATTCCTTTAATAGGGAATACCAAACCGGATCAAACCCGTTGCCGTTGATTCAGTTCCAACTGATGGCAACCCTGTGTGTTACCGAGGACAATTGCTCCATAGGATTTTCTTGGCTGTGATCATTATGGAAGGAGATTGCCAGGCCTTTTTTTTGAAGGTACTTCTGGGTAGATTTGAACCATCAACCTTTAGGTTAGTAGTCGATGGCAAACTGTTTGCACCAGCCAGGGACCTTAATAGGGAATACTGCTTTTATATTACTAGAGAGAAGAAAAGTTAATTGTTTAACACCTTTACTGAAATTTGTACTTTCTCTTTTAAATCATGGCATAACATTTCTGGATTTCAGTTTCCTTGTCTGTGAAATTAGTCGGTATAATCTGTATCAAGTAATTAGATTAGTGCTTGGAACATGTTGTTAGGTGCCATGGAGTCTGTTCCAACTCATAGCGACCCTATGTACAACAGAACGAACCACTGCCTGGTCCTGCGCCATCCTCACACAATCGTTGTGCTTGAGCCCGTTGTTACAGCCACTGTGTCAGTCCATCTCGTTGAAGGTTTTCCTGTTTTTAGGTGCTTAATGAAATATAGCTATTTTTTTTTTTTTGAGCCCTGGTGGTGCAGTGGTTAAGTGCTCGGCTGCTAACCAAAAGGTCTGCAGTTTGAATCCACCAGCCATCACTATCTTTTCTTTGACCTGGGTGGATCTGGTTTGTGACTATTCACTTCTCTCTCGTTGATATGGAAAATCCTGATTATGTGAATGTGATTTTGCTTTTGGAGCAGGTGCAGAAGTCTGCTTCAGACGCTGTGTAACCCAGATCAACCTGAGAAATGACAAATGGGAAGTCTCCTGGGAAACAGGCTCTCCTGAGCAGTTTGATTTTGTTGTCCTCACTATGCCAGTTCCTGAGATTCTGCAGCTTCAAGGTGACATCCAGAACTGTGAGTCTCTGCCTCTGTCCTCTGTTTCCCTTGGGAATGGGATTTCTGTGATAGAGTATGAATTCAGTTTAACTCTCTCAGTGAACGAAATATTATGGATTCTATGATTTGCGTGTTTTAAAAACTGATGCTTATATCTCAGATCATCATATTAATCTAGGCCAAACTGAAACCTGTAGAATTTTTTTTTTTAACCAGTTGAAAGTTGAACCTTTTTTTATTATTACCCTTGCCATCAAAAAGGTCAGTAATCTTGTTGCATAGGCAGTAATTTGGCCCTAAAGGAACAACAGTCTCTTTGGGGACATCCTGGAGATAAGAAGAGTTTTTATAATGTAAATTGTTGCTTGGGTTGCCTCATTTTCTGTCTGTTTGCTCTCCTGGTTGCCCTTTAGGTATTTATTTGTTTGAGGCAACTGCCCAGCCCTATTGTGAAAGAGAGGCTTAAGAGAAGGGGTGGGTTGGGACTGGCAGGGTGAATAAATTATGCTAAAAAAAAAACCAAACAAAAACTGTTGCCCTCCAGTCGATTCTGACTCATATGCTAAGGGAGCTACAGTTATGCTGTAGGAGCCAAAATTAGGATAAGAAATTAAAATTCTGAAGAATTTTTTCTGTCTGAGAAGACAAAAAAGAAAATTATTTTCTTGCTAAGAGCAACAAAGGTACATTTTTAGAAGGATAATGATATAGGGCTGTTGAAACATAGAATGTCATATCTTATTTAGAAAATCAGATCTTACTATTTTATAATACTGAATCAATTTTCATATGGAGAGAAACTGTTAGACCATTGTAGAGAATTTTTTTAAGAAAGCAATTTTTTTTTTAATACATGGTCATTGTTTCCTAGGGAGCACTGGTTTTGTTTTCAGTTACATTGAATTGAGGCCTAATAAGGACATGAGCAAAAATGCCCCCAAAGTAAGCTGGATTATGTGAAAGAAAGGAGAAGAAAACCAGCATAACATGACCTAGTCACCTGGTGTGGTTCTGAAGCAGCATATAAGTCTCATTTTGCTGTCTACCTCCCCAAAAGATCTCAGTTCCATCTAACACTGAGAGAACCTGATACGATTCTTCTTTTTTATTTTATAAGATTTTACCTAACTAATCAACTGTTTCCCTTTTCAGAAATTTGTTCATTTGCAGCTGGGGAAATTGTTGTTGCTATGGTATTATTAGTTAACCAGTTACCATCAAATTAAATGTGAAAATCAAATTTTATAATCAAATTTTGTAGTACTGTCAGTACTAGAGAGGACTTTGGAACAAGAACTGTAAGAAAAATGCTACACAGGCACAGTCTGGTGAGGACACTAACCCTGAAATGGTTCAACTCCATCAGCGTCGTTGTACCTCTGCCCAATTTCAGGAAGGGAGCATCCTACTGACCTGACTTGGGTCACATTCCCACCTCCGTGGCCAGGGGATGATGGAGTCCTTGATTAAAATCCTGTCCCATTGTATGTAATCAGTGGGGAGAAGGCAGTACTCCAAAATAAATATCGGTTCTGTGAGGAAGAGAAATTGCATGCCGAGTCATAAAAAATAACTCTACTGCGTAGGTGTTCTTTAATATTTGTAAAATGAATGAATGATTGATTGGTTGAATGAATGAATGAATGTATTTCCAAAAGGCCCAAGGAGCTACTTAAATTTTAGTTGGTTAGGTTGCGTCTCTCCATCCTCTTGGTGACATTCACGTTAAGAGAATCCTGTGATAGACTTTTTTTCTTTTTCGTTCCATATCCTGTTTGCATTAAATGTGGATACGTACAGAGAAGGAAAGAGAAACTCTATACTGACAATAGGCCTCATTTCTTTAAAATACTAGTTGCCTATACCTAAGCCCCAGTCTGATAATTGTGTTCATATATTGCTTTACATTCATTCATTTCGTTGTTCTGTATGCTGGTTTTAATTTAGTTACTTTATATCAGTTTATTAACGTTTTAAATAGTCTGTTGCTCTGTATAAGATTTTGTTGAGCAAACAAGAAGGATACCATGAGTTATGCCCTGGAATATGATGGTGACACTCTCTTTGGCACTCTAGCTGCTCTCTCATGTTAATCTAGACTGTTCTAGGAAGTTAAATCTAAAGACTGTAGGCCCTAGAAATGAAATCTGGAATCTTTAAGAGAACTTCAGATTTCTAACGTTTTTCGTCTTGGAAAACTTTGACATCTTGTTTTTTAAATTGGAATGTTTTTCTAATAAAACTTTAAAAATTTGATTTAAAAACTGTTCATGTGATATTTAACATAAACCCTTAGTTTGTTGTTGTTGTTAGGTGCCGTCGATTCGGTTCCAGCTCATAGCGACCCTATGCACAACAGAATGAAACACTGCCTGGTCCTGTGCCATCCTCACAGTCGTTGTTCTACTTGAGCCCTTTGTGGCAGCCACTGTGTCAGTTCATCTCCTTGAGGGTCTTCCTTTTCTTCACTGACCCCTCTACTTTACCAACCTTCACGTCCTTCCCCAAGGACTGATCCCTCCTGATAACATGTCGAAAGTATGTGAGACATAGTCTCGTCATCCTTGCTTCTAAGGAGCATTCTGGTTCTTCTTCCTCCAAGACAGATTTGTTCTTTTGGCAGTCCATAGTATATTCAGTAGTCTTCGCCAATACCACAATTCAAAGGCGTCAGTTCTTCTTCGGTCTTCCTTATTAATCGTCCAGCTTTTGCATGCACGTAAGGCAACTGAACACTCCATGGCTTGGGTCAGCACACCTTAGTCCTTAAAGTGACATCTTTGCTTTTTTCTTTTTTTTGCTGTTTAATTTTTCTTTTTTTTTTTTTTACTGTACTTCAGGTGATGGCTTACAGAACAAATAGTTTCTCATCAAACAGTAGTACACATATTGTTTTATGACATTGGTTAACAACCCCACAACATATTAACCCTCTAACTTCTCAACTTTTTTTT